GCACTTAACAACAACAATGAAACTAAAACACATGTATTACTGAAAAGACTTGTCTGCAACTGTCCACTGATTGTACAGACATGTATAAATGCATCTTGTTTGGAATAAGTCCAGGTATGTACATATTAGAACAGTAGTAGCAGTGGTTTTTTTTTACTTATCATCATACTAGTTAAATCATTCCCTTTCAAAATTCCAGTGGCGGTTTTTCCCAAACCCTCCCCCACCCCCAAATACAAAAACCCATCCTAAAATTCATAAAGAATTTAAAGGGAGTCCATATAGCCTAAACAATATTGAAAACAAAATACAAAATTTGAGGAGTCACATTTCTGATTTAAAAACTTACTACAGAGATACAGAAATCAAAATAATGTGGCACTGATATGAGGATAGCTAGACCAATAGAAACTAACAGAGAACACAGAATTAAACACTCACATATATGCTGAGTTGATTTTTGACAGTACTGACACTATTCAATTAGGAAAGGAAAGGATAGACTTTTCAAAAAGTGGTGCTGGGAAAACTAGAGACTTACCTGCTCCCTCCCCCTTACTTTATATGGATTTGGACCCTTACTTTATACCATAAATAGATTGAAGAACTAAATCTAAGAAATAAAACTATAATTCTGTTAGAACAAAACATAGGTTAAAATCTTCATGACCAATTTAATTATAGATTTTTGGATAGATACCAGAAAGTACAGCTAACAAAAGAATAAATAAAGTGTAGATGGATTGGCAAAGTGGCAGTATCAATGGGCTCATGCGTGGCAACAGTTGTGAGGTTGGCCCAGGATCAGGCAGTTTTTCGTTCTGTGTGCATAGGGTCGCTATGAGTCGGTATCAACTCGATGGCTCCCAACAACAACAACTTTATCAAAATGGAAAACATTAGTGCATCAAAGGACACTATCAACCCACAGAATGGGAGAAGATGTTTGTAAATCATATAATTTACAAGAGAATAATATCCAGATTTTATACTGAACTCTTACAACTCAGTAATAACAGCCCAATTTTAAAAACAGGTAAAAGGACTAGAATAGACAGTTCTCCAAAGAAGATATACACATGACCAATTAGCACATGCTCAACATGATTAGTCACTGGTGGTGGTGATTGTGTGCTGTTGAGTCGATTCCGACTTATAGTGACCCTGTATAGGGTTTCTGAGGCTGTAAATCTTTACAGAAATGGAAAGCCACATCTTTCTACCATGCATTAGTCACTAGGGAAATGTTTAACCACAATGAATTACTACTTCATATCCATTAGGATGGCTGTTATAAAAAAGATAAAAAGTAACAAGTGTTGGTAAGGGTGCTCAAAATGGAATACTTAGGTATTACTGGTGGGATTGTAAAATAGTGCAGCCACTATGGAAAACAGTTTGGTAGTTCCTCAGAAAATTTAACAGAATTACCGTATAGTCCAACAATTTCATTCCTAGATATACCCAAAAGAATTGCAAACAGGGACTCAAACAGATACTTGTACACCAGTGTTCATTAATCACAACAGGCAAAAGTTGGGTACAACCCAAATGTCCATCAACAGGTGAATGGATACGCAAAATGTGGTATACACTTACAGTGTAATATTACTCAGCCAAAAAAAGGAATGTGCTTTCTGATACATGCTGCTACGTTAATGAACTTGCAAACTGTATGTTGAATGAAAGGAGCCTGAGGCAAAAAGACAAATACTGTGTGATTCCACTTATTTGAGCTCTGTAAAATAGGCAAAGTCATAGAAACAGAAAGTAGAATAATGGTTTCTGGAGGCCGAGAGAAGGAGGGAAGGAAGAGTTATTGTTTAATGGATCAGAGTTTGGAATGATGCAGATACCTTGGAAATGAACAGTTGTGATTATTATACATCATTGTGAATATAAATAATTTAATGTCACTAAATTGTAAACTTAAAATTAAAATACAAAATTTTATGTTATATGGGTTTTATCATAAGCAAATAAAAACACATTATTGATACCACTTCATCCTCACTGAGATGGTTTTAATAACAAAACTGGGAAATAGGTGGGGTGAGGGATCCCTGTGCACTGCCAGTGGGAACGTAAAATGGCGTTACAACTCTGGAAAACAGGCTGTTCCTTGAAACTGGAAAGATCAAATTAACATATGATCCAGAAATTCCATTCCTAGATCTGTTCCCAAGAGAAAAGAAAACATACGCCTACACGGAAGCTTGTATATGAATGTTCATAGCAGCGTTATTCCTAGTGATCAAAAGGGAGAAACAACCCAATGCCAATCAATGAATGAATAGATAAATTACAGTCTACACACACACACACACACACACACACACACACACACGGATAATTCAGCCATAACAAGGAAATTATGTGTTGATACATGCTATAACGAGGGTGCACCTAAAAAACATAGGCTAATTGAAAGAAACTAGAACAAAACATCCCATATTTTATAATCCTTTCATGTGAAATATCTTGGATTAGGCAAATCCATAGAGATAAGAAAGCAGATTAATGGTGCCAGGGCATAGTAAATGGTTGCTTAATGGATATATGGGGGTGTTCTTCTGAGGTGGTGAAAAAGTTTTGAAATTAGTGGAAAGTGTGGTTGCTCAATGTTGAATGCACTAAATGCCATTACATTGTACATTTTTAAATGGCTGACTGTATGAATTTACCTCCGTTAAAAACCCCTGTTATAACGGATATATCATATTTATCCGTGAGCTGGTAGATATTTGGGTTGTTTCCACTTCTTGAATATGTGACTAATGCTTCTATGAACATTTGTGTCCAGGTTTTTGTGAAGACATGTTTTCATATCTCTTTGGGTATTATGATTTCTTCCAATTCTTGCCAACATTTGTTAACTTATCTGTTTTTAAAAATGATAGCCATCCTTGTGGGGGTGAAAAACCAGTTGCCATCAAGTCAACTTTGACTAATGGCTACCTCACATGTGTCAGAGTACAGCTATGCACCATGGGGTTCTAAATGGGTGAGTTTTGGAAAGCAGAGCTGAACTGCCTCTGGGATTTGAACCTCCTACCTTTGGGTTAGCAGCTAACCAGTTAACCAGTATCTTGTGAATTGGTATCTTACTGTGATTTTGGATTTGTGTTTCTATGATGGCTAATACTACTTACAGATTTTGAAGCTGTCATTAAAGATTTAAATCCTCAGAAATGATCGTTTTCTTTTTTGTTGTTATTTATCTTGTATTAAATTATTAGTTTTTCTTTCAAAACTTCACATCTCTTTTTTCTCATAATAGAGGACCAATTGCAAAATATGTTAAATTGCAGAATATGTATGAAATTTAGTCTTTTCATTAAGAGAACACATCTCCTGAGAAAAATAGTCTCATAGTTACCTTTGTGTAATTTTCACGGGTTAAACTATGGAGTCCTGGTGTGCCACTGTAGGATAAACACTGGACTGCTAACCATGAGGTCGACAGTTCAAATCCACCAGCCACTCTATGAGAGAAAGATGAAACTGTTTGCTCCCATAATGACTTACATACAGCCTCAGAAACCCTATACAGGGTCACTGTGAGTCAAAACAAACGGGATGGCCTGGAGTTTGAGTTAAAATATATTGTGCTCATAAGTTTTTTTTATCATTACGACGTGATAATTCCATAGGAATACAAATCGTTTTGAGGTTCTGTTGATAGCCAGGAAGGGATTAATATCGCAGAGAATATTCTGAGTTTAAGTGATTCTTTTTTTTTAACCTTTTATTGTGAATTATGTGACAGTTGACATGGGAGAACATTAGCTTTACATTCATCCTGTCGTATATCGTTTCATTGCCATGATTGTAATCCCCTCCATGCATCATCAAGCCTACCCCCTGGTTGTCAGCTGAGTTTAAATAATTCTTGTGGATGCTTTAAAGCTCCTACACTCCAGACTTTCTACTTGGAAAGAACATGGAATTAGTGTTTTACTCAGTCTTTCCTGTGATCCCTTTCCTTGGATATCTTTTCTCTTGCTTTTCTATAGGGAACCTTTTTTGGGATTAAAAGAATTTTGCCATCTAGTCAGTTCTAACTTTTAAGAACCTTTTAGGATAGAGTAGAATGGCCCATGGGGTTTCCAAGGCTGTAAATCTTTTCTTTCTCCTGTGCCGTGTATGGTGGCTTTAAACTGCCAGCCTTTGATTAGTCAAACTTTTAACCACTGTACCACCAAGGCTCCTCCCCTTTTTGGACTCAGCAAACTAAATTAACTCAAGGATCTGAAGTGGAGTTTTGATTTGTTGTTGTTGTTAAGTGCCATCGAGTCAGTTCCGACCCATAGCGACCCTGTACAGGGTTTCCGAGGGTGTAAATCTTTACGGGAGTAGAAAGCCTC